CAGCGGCTCACGCACACGCGGCGCCAGCGCCGAGGGAAGCGGGGCCTGCCCAGCTCCTTGCCTTTGACTCCTCGGCAAACAAGCCTGACCTGACCCGCGTCCATGCTCTGAAATGGGGGGGCGGGGGGCGCAGTCATTAACCCACGGCCTGGGGGCTCCGACCCATCCCCAAATGACCCCGGGGAGCATCTGTCTTAAATAGAGCAGTTTTAAATGGGATCTGTATCCGGCTACTCACAGGGTTACAAGCCACCAGCCCTGTACGACTGAGCTGGGGTTTTTTTAATATGTTTTTAAAAATATGCATTGATTTCAGAGAGGAAGGGAGAAGGGAGAGAGAGATAGAAACATCAACGATGAGAGAGAATCATGGATCGGCTGCCTCCTGCACGTCCCCTACAGGGGATCAATCCCGAAACCTGGGCACGTGCCCTTGACCAGAATCAAACCTGGGACCCTTTCGTCTGCAGGTTGATGCTCTATCCACTGAGCCAAACCAGCTAGGACTTTAATATATTTTTATTGATTTCAGAGAGGAAGGGAGAGGGAGAAAGAGATAGAAACATCAATGATAAGAAAGAATTACTGATGGGCTCCCTCCTGCAAGCCCCACACTGGGGATCCAGCCTGCAACCCGGGCATGTGCCCCTGACCTGAATTGAACCTGGGACCCTTCAGTTCACAGGCTGATGTTCTATCCACTGAGCCAAGCCAGCTAGGGCAACAGCTGTTTTTTATCCATCTTCCCAATGTTTCAGTTTTTCATTATTAAATACTAGGGGCCCAGTGCACGAATTCGTGCACCTTGAAAGGAACTGTGGCACAGGGGCGGGTCTCGGCTCATCCTCTGTGCCCCTGCCTGGCCCCTCCCACTGTGGCCTCCAGTCCCCTCTCCCGCCGCCGATGCTCCCCAGAGTGATTGGGGCCTGCACCAGCAGCGGGTGCAAGCGGGGCCAGCGCTGGTGCTGTCAGTGGGTGCAAGCGGCGGCAGCTGCTGCCCCGATCGCCTCTCAGGAGCAGGGGGAGGTAGGGAAGCCCTGAGGGGCGATCGGGGCCCATGGCTGCTGCTCACACCCGTTGACGGCGCTGAGCTATTGGGGCCAGTGACGGGCTCCAGCAGCAGGTGCAAGCAGGGCTGGTGCCAGCAGCAGGTGTGAGCATCAGGTGAAACCACAGCACGCAGGAGCAAAGAATTTTCAGTAACCACCAGAGGCTCGCCCTGATGACAGCAAACGGCGCCCCGCCTTGGTCTGGTGCCCACCTCACTTGCTCCACCATCCCGCCGCGGCCAACGCCCACCATGTTCCGTGTGCACACCCCCCTGGTGGTCAGAACACGTCATAGCGACCGGTTGTTCGGTTGTTCTGCCATTCGGTCTATTTGCATGTTAGCCTTTTATTATATGGGATACAGTTTCTAGTCTGGCCAGCGTGGCTCAGTGGTTGAGTGTCGAACCCTGAACCAGGAGGTCTTGGTTCAATTCCCCGTCAGGGCACATGCCGGGGTTCAGGCTTGATCCCCAGCAGGGGGCGTGCAGGAGGCAGCCGATCAATGATTATGTTTCTTTCTCCCTCTCCCCTCCTCTCTCTGAAATCAATTTAAAAAAAGATTTTTTTTTAAGTAAAGCTTTGGGCATCTACCAATGTTGTATTAATAGAGTATGACTTATTTTTTAATTCAGGACATTAGCTCTACATGAAAATTCAGAAATCCCCTTATTATGGTGTGAGGCGGATGTCAGCGACTGTTCATCAAAGTCTTTATGACCTAAAAAAAAATTAGCTTCAGGCATAAAAATGGTGGAAGACATTCACAATGAAATAGAGATTTTCTTTCCTTTAATTATCCTCTCAGGGTGGAGGTCAGAAAAGGGGTGAAGAAGAGAGAAAAAAACAGGCCCATTAATTCTTTTTCAAGCCTGATGCTGGGTTTGATTCAAGTTCACTGCTAATTCCCTCATCAGCTGGGACAGATGACGAAGAGAAGTCAAAATCCTACACCTGCCTGGGCTTGGCGATGGTTTCGGAACCACGGGGCCTGCTCCCTGCAATGGCCTTGTTTCAGGAGGAATGACCCCAGACGTTCCCAGAAAACATCTGGCTGAAAAGCCGTTGTCCAGCACCGAAGACTTCCCGCTTGTCCTAAGCTGAGTTCCTTCTCCCCCTGTGGGGTCGCCCTGGGCACTCGTTCCAGCTGTCCTCACCCCTACACCTTTTCCTTTGCCGCCCGCCCCCCACCTGCCCCTTCCACCTCGTTCCTACCTGGTCCAGATGTTCCCTTTCCCGGGAAGCCCTCCCCAGCCAGCTGTGAGAGCCAGAGGCCCCTCCACGTCTCCCTCCGGCGTCTGTTTCTTCTCTTAGGCTCCCTGAGAGCGGGAGTTGTATCTTTACATTTCACTTGCCTGGAGCACCTACCACGGTGCCCGAGACAAATAAAAATTTGTCAAATGAATGAATGGAAGTCCGTGTTCGCCGAGTCTCCAGTGAGCGGGGTTTCATGGCTCCTGAGAGCAAGGCCTCCTCTGTCTGGGGGAGGACACATCCAGTAACTTTCTAAAAGCTCTTGCAAGGCCCAGCTGGCGTGGCTCGGTGGCCGAGGGTCAACCTGTGAACCAGGAGGTCACAGTTCGATTCCCGCTCAGGGCCCATGCCGGGGTTGCGAGCGGGCTCATTCCCAGTGTGGGGCGTGCAGTCAGCCAATCATTGAGGTTTCTATCTCTCCCTCTCTCTTCCTCTCTGAAATCAACAAAAACTTAAAAATAAATAAAATAGAAGCAGTTGCAGGTGGTGGTTGGTTGCCTTTCAAAGATGGGCCACTCCCTAACGTGGAGGAGTCAACCCTTTAAATGGCTATCCCGTCGCCTGAGAAGCCTTCTGGGTTGCCTTGTAGCAGCAGCTTCCTTCCTCCCTCCCGGCCTCCTTCCCCCTCTCCTCCGCCCGCCCCCCCCCCATGGTGGGGAGACTGACTAGGTTCCCACGCCAGCCAGGAGGCCCAGCGGGAGGCAGTCGGAGGCAGGCAGGAGCAGGCTGGCGCGCCAGGAAGTGAAGTTGGCTGGAGCACTCGGCTGTCAAGAGCCGGCAGGGGACTGGGAACAGACGGACGGATGGCCAAGCCAGACAGCGGGCGCACATGACCCTTGCCTGGGAGGCGTCTGTGAAGCCCACACACCACTCCTTCCCCAGCAGAGCTCCCAGTAAGTAATAGAGCAGGACTCGCACCCAGGCCCAGAGCCGTCCTCTGCTTCTCCTCCTGGCCCTTCTATCCCATCCCTGGATCCCCCCATCCCTGGGTCCCTCCATCCCTGGGTCCCCCCATCCCTGGGTCCCTCCATCCCTGGATCCCTGGGCAAATCCTAAGGCTCTGCTTCCCCACGTGGCCACTTCCCTCTGTCGCCCTCTGCAGGCCGATCTCCTCTCTTGGGGTATCCTGGCTCCCACACCAAAGTCAACACCATCTTTTTTTAAAAATATATTTGTATTGATTTCAGAGAGGAAGGGAGAGGGGGAGAGAGAGAAACATCAGTGATGAGAGGGGATCATGGATCGGCTGCCTCCTGGACGCCCGCCCCCCACTGGGGCTCGAGCCCCAACCGGGGATCGAACTCTGACCTCCTGGTTCCTAGTTCGACGCCCAACCACTGGGCCACGAGTTCGGGGGGCACCAGCTCTTAAAAATAGGGCTCAGATCACATCAGCCCCTGCCCCACGCTGGGCTGGA